GCTCATAGCAATCTTATATACAAGAGTGAATCCCTGCCCAAACCATACCACGCTCATCATTCTGTGCTTACACTCATTGCTGTTTTATTTAGATAATTCCTAGAGATCTAGTTTTTCTACTTTTGAATAATTAAGGACGTCAAGATTCTGAAGAGTTTCTAGACTATAATGTACTGAGAAAAACTTAATCCAGAAAGAGATTTAAAATAATTTGGAAGCAATGGTTCTTGAGCTTTTTTTAAAAAAAGTTGTTTTTATATATATTTATATATATGTAGAGAGAGAGCAAGGGTCCAACGAGGTTTGTCTCTTGCTCATTAGAAGGCAGCTGCTCTGTGTGTTATGTAAAGTTAATGAAAGGCAAGTAAGAGAGGTCCAAGCATGTTAAAGAATATGTTTGGTGGAATGTAGATATGATTTTTTGACTCTCTAAAATTGATTGTCTCTGTCATTCTTCTTTGCTACTGTTTGCCATTTTCTTAGGTCACTGGACTTATTTGGGCTGGGGAGAGCAGCAAAGTACGTAAGAATTTGAATTCTTTGTAATTACCTTACTCTTTACTTTTCGCCTTGTTTTTGTTACTAGGTTCTGTCAAGTCAAGAATGACTTACAGCAACCCTTTGGATGATAGATCTGAACCCAGTCTTGTCCTGTGCCATCCTTACCATCTCTGATGCACTTGTGCCCATTGTTACAGTCACTGTGTCAATCCATTTTGCCATATTCTCTCTGAATGACAAAGCTGGATGTTCATGCATACAAGCAGATATCATTCTCTTTCTCCTTCATCACCTACTTGACTCTTAGGAAACAATTGCCTTTGTAGAATGTTACATTCTTTTAGGTTATTTTCTTAAAGACTCTGTGTGTGTGTGTGTGTGTGTGTGAGAGAGAGAGAGAGAGAGAGAGAGAGAGAGAGAGACAGACAGACAGACAGACAGAGAAAGAGATATTGAGAGTTTGGCCCACTCAAGCTCCTGATAGGGTCTTTTGGCCAAGGAGGGCAGTGTACAGAGGAAAATGTTTTAGAATCAAGGCATTGATGTACATTCTGGATCAACTAGGTTTCTGAGTGTATAATATTAGTATCAGGGATAATATACAGAAAAACAAAATTCAGCCCAAAACCTAGATTTGTGATGTCAACAAGAGGTTGAAGACGTGGTCCGATATTCCTTGTATTATTAACAGCCCAGTTAGGCTGCTTGTTCTCTGAGTAATTTGTTCTAGAGCTTAGAGAGCAGGGAGCTATTTCTTTCCAGAAAGATATACAAACCTCAACAGACATTGTTGGCTTTCACTCATCTGATGGGATCTGGCAAAGTCCCAGTGATAAAGTATTCAGCATCCTCAGAGGGGCCACATTCTGTTCTGACACTGTCACTTCTCCTGAAGGATGTACTTTATTCGATTTGACTCTTGAGTATTTTCATTCTTAGGAACTTATGCCCAAAGGCAGTCTATGAAAGACTCTGATAACTGAAGATTTTCAAGTTGAATAAAGTGATCATGAGAGAAGGTCTGAATTACCTTGCTAATAAAGTTCTAGATATTTTCTGGCTTTATAGCTTGATTTTTTAATATTCCATTCCGTTTTGTTTGAGTGCCTCTTGTGTGCCTGGGGCCCTTCTTGGCCGGTGGTTAGATTACCTCTACCAGCCCAAGTTTCCAGATTTATTTTCAGTCATTCTCTTCCATGCCCATGTATGTACCTGCCAAATTAGCTACAAAGTATTTCTCAAAAACATTTTCCCCCTTGGGCTTTTCATTATGCTAATGTTTTTACAGTTTCTACACATAGCTTCCTCTACATTTAATCTTCATCCACTAACAACCCACATCTTCCAAAGACATCTTCTCCATAAAATTTTTCTTACTCCCCCTGTCAGGGACTCATCTTACTCTCTTTTCTACTCATGTAGCTCTTACATCAACATCACTACAGTTGGTGTTACCTAGTGCAGTTCCTCATGGTGTTACCCCCGACCCCTATTATGGCAGGGCTGGCTACGGAGTTCCTTTTCCCTTGGTGCATTCTGGCTTCACCCTTTGGTAGGGCTTAGCACCACGTCCCAACCTCTGCCTCTTCTGACTCCACCCCTCAAAACTCCTCCCTTCTTCCATTGGACAAGATGGGGACCCTTATTGTCACCCAGTGGTAGACATCTTACAGGTAGGTGATGAGTGGGGAGGGTTGTTAATTGGTGGCACCAGTTCTAGTGATGCTGCTGTGTTGGTAGCCCCTTTACCTATTTCTCTGGCCAAAATGATGCTCCCATGGACCCTAGGATCATTTTGACAGGGGGTGTACACACAGCCCCCCATAGTTATTTTTTAATATAACAAATATTTATCCGTATTTTCTCTCTCCTCTTAGACTGATTCTTTTTATACTGAATTTGCTATCTGAATTTGTTTTGCATTTGTAGGCACCTAAAAGAAGTTTGAATAAGTATATATCCTATCTTTCTATCTTAGAGATTTTTGAAATATTTATTATTGCTCAAATATACTTTATCAGGAGTTGAAAAGTTTCTGGAAAACCTTTCCCTTCCTACTAGCTTGCAGGTCCCTTCCTAGACTTAATTACCAAGGCTGCTCTTAACTTTTCTGCTCTAGCTGACATGATGCCTTACAGTAGATTGCAGAGCCAATGCTAGGTGCCATTGAGTCAAGTTTGACCATATTGACCCTAGGAGCAACAGATCTGAACTCTGCCCTAGTCTGTGCTATCCTCACACTTCCTCACAGATTAGAGCCCATTGTGTCAATCCACTTAGTCAAGGGTCTTCCTCTCCTTCGCTGACCCTCTACCTTTTTGAGCATCATGTCCCTCTCTACAGAATAGCCCCTCCTAGCAACATGCCTGAAGTATGTGAGGTGAAATCATAGTTAAATTTGCCAGAACTAAGGATAAGGAGAGAATCCTGAAAGCAGCAAGGGAGAAACAAAGAGTAACCTATAAGGGAGAACAGATAAGATTAA